TTTATTGGCAGCTTCTTCAATTTCCGCCGGGAGAAATTCATTGTCTTGATCACTTTCCATCGCCCAGAAAATAAACCACAATGAAACTGGATGAAACCACGCAAAAACCAAAAATTGTGCAAAAACCTTAAGCAAAAATTCGTGATTATTTGACGTTACTAATCAACAATGACAAACAGAGATGACAAATAAAAATAAACAAATTCGTTTTTTTTCTTGCCAGCAACCTATTTCATATAGTTCATACCAAATAAACTTGTAGTTGTGACATCGATGACGCCATTTTTAAAATCGTTATGGCCAACCGTGAAATTATTCGGCGTCGGATTGACTTAATTGGAATTTGAATTTCCCGCTGGTCATTCAGTTGGTAACACCACTTCAAAAAATGTAATGTTGCCAAATGAAATTCTTGACATTTTGAATTTTGATTGCTTTTTGGCAGTTTACGAGTTGTTGGTTTGAGTGCTATTTATTGTGAGCTAGTTTTTCAAAAACAGGTTGTAGTGCGAAGTGTACAAGATGCCGAAGCAGCTTAACAGCCGTTGCAAAGAACTAATCGCATCCTTGTTAGAATATTTCGAACGAGAACGCGATAATAATGGCCCTTTATGTCCCTTAAATGCTGTTAGGAAGGTGAGTTCACAAGTTGTTGATGTCGTGTGACCAAATAGGAATTTCCAATTTGAACTTTATTATCTCTCATTTTTAGCGCGTAGCAGAGGCTTTGAACTTAAGTATGTCCACTGTCTGTGCTATTTCAAAGGCAATCAAAAATAACGAAGTTTTGGAATCGCCTTCTAAGAAACAATGCACTTCAAAGAGAGTCTGTGATGTTTCAAAGCTCGATAGCAGTGCTATACGATGGAACTTCCTGATATTGCTGTTAAACGCATATCATTTTTGAGGTCTTATCTAAGACTGAAACAGGAGGCTTTGTAGAGTTTGTACCAGTTTGTTTTCTTGGACGAGACTTGAATGTTTCAAAATCGTACCATTAATCGCTCTTGGTAAGACAATAACAAGCGACGTGTTAAAACTACCAAAGTTGATGGTAAAAGGTGAATATAAACATGAATACAGAGAGCAGTTGTATTAGATGTACAAATTAAATGCTTTTTTTTAGATATATTCTTCTATATACTTCATGCTGGCAATGAAAATGGATTGATTGAAGGTGCATCGCTCGTATTTTCATCGAAAACTCAACTTAACGACTATCATGGGGAAATGAATCAGCAAAACTTTGTACGTTGGTTCGAAAATCAGCTGCTGAAGAACTTGACTGAACCATCTGTCATTGTTATAGACAATGCTCCTTACCACAGCATGTTATTAACGAAGGCACCTAATAGTTCGTCTTCCAAGGCTGAAATTCAAAATTGGTTAACCGAATAGAAAGTTGAGTATCCAAATACAGCATTGAAATCTGAACTTGTTACCATTGTTGCAAGGTAAGTACCTACAATACCAAAATTGTATGCATTTTATGCTCAACTTTTCAAGTATTGCTTTTTCAGGAATAAACCAACAAAAAAGTATGTGGTAGATGACTTGGCAGAACAGTATGGATATAAAGTTTTACGACTACCTCCATGCCACTGCACTTTTAACCCGATTGAACTTATTTGGGGAATTGCAAAAAACTATTATAACCGACATATAGGCAGAGATGGTTATACTTAAGATGCTTGTTCAAAAATGTGGCGAGAGGCACTGGAAACTGTTACCCCTGAAATGTGGAAATAATTGACGAGTGGTATAACAGGGAACAAGTAATGGACAGGCAAGAGGTTCTTCCACTTTTTATCAATGTTGATGAAGACTTTAGCGATTCTAGCGATTTCAGTGATCCAGAATAATTGAAAATATTTTTGATGGTTCAAATATTCATAATATTTAATTATTTATAGTATTTAGAGTGGCTGTAAATAAATGGGTACTGATTATATTTTATGTGATGATTGACAAATGAGTTGTTATTAAATATCTATTAAACCAAGCTTTGAAGCAATGTTTATAATTCAAGTAATAAATGTTTGCATTATATTATAATATAATCCATTTTTTTTTCTGAAATATTTTGACCAAAGGAAAATATGCAAGAGACGGCAACGCTGTGCCGGTCGAGCTTGACAACCCAACAATAAGTTTATTTGGTATGAACTATAAATAAATTAGATGAAAGATTTGAAATTGAGGATTGCAAGGATGCGTTAATTGGACTTTCAAAGAGTGTTTGTAGAAAAAATAGTGTATGATATTCGTGCTAAAAGTGATTTTATTTTGTTCAAAGGGATGGAACACTCCGCCTTCGGCGTCGTGTCCCAAACTTCCCTTTTCACAAAATAAAATGTCACTTTTAGCACTTATATCATAAATAACTATTACGCACTCATAAGTCACTTTTACGCATTCAAAAGTCACTTTTACGCACTGAGTGCCTAAAAGTAACTTTCACGCACTCAGTGCCTAAAAGAATGTCGTTTCAAAACTGAAATGACAATCGAAAAGTTGCTATTATGAAACGTCAGTAGAAAAAAAGAATTTCAGTTATTTTAGTAGTTAGTTAAAATAGAATTCAGCAACTGCTTGTTTGTTAATACCGAGAAAGCAATACCATAACTTGAATGAGACTCAAACAAGGAGTCATACACCATTTTAGCAGCCAAACTACTATGCTCATTACATACAACCCTTATTGCTAAACTGCCAACCTGTTAACTAATACATCAACATGTTCGTAAAACTTTAGCTCATCATCCAACATAAGTCTTAAAAATCTTATAATACAATGGATTTACTTGCAATAGACTGAGTCTCAAGGTTCAAATTTGCAAGTCCAAACCAAAGGTCATAAGGTTTGTTTTGGTCATATTGCAACAATGTAGATTTGTATCGCACCAAACCTTAGCTTTCGCAAATCGCTATCAATCGTTAGTCCTACGTTTTCTTTATTGTTGTCATGCCACACAAGACTCGTGTAATCGGCAAATAGAATGACTGGACCTCCTAAGAAATCCAAGTTGTTCCGGTATATGAAAAACAAAATTGGCCCTATCACTGAGCCTGGTGAAATATGCTACTATACTCTGGGGATGAAAATCAGGCTCCAGGGTCCTTCAGAAAGATAGGATGAAACCATTTTATTGCAATATCACCAAAGCCATAACGGAGAAGCTTCCGCAGTTCTGCATCAATACTTTATGATCCACGCAATCGAAAACTTCTGATAATATGTACTTGAAACCCTTTGAGAAAACTGGTAACTCCCTTCCGGAATATTGGGATAGTTTTGATGCCGGACTGAAAAACCTTCTCAATGAAACACAGATTGAACAGTCTAGTTAGAGGACTGAAAAGGATACCTTTCAGAGAATGTGATAGTGAGGTATTAAAGCCATGTATGTCCCTACTCTCTTTCTTTTCTAATTAACCTAACAATAGCATCTCTTACTTCAATTAAGCTGATCTCACGGACAACAAAACCAGTGTGCCAAGGTTTGATCTCAGCTGTTCCAGATATAAATCGATAGGCAAAGACTCGGGCAAAGCTGAAATAAAACTATCAGCAATATCGGCAAAGAAATAATTTAAATCATTTATCGACCCATGTTTTTTGCTGTTTATAATGCCCCAAGTAGATGGGTTATCGGAACTACGAATATATGTAGTTAGAATTTGCACTTTGCTTCTGAAATTCTTTGTCTACCTCTATTCCGCAGTAATCTCAATTCATTATGATAACCATTCAACTCTTGGAGCATCAGGTTTAAATTTTTTTGAACCTCAGCAAATGCAGAATCTCTCAGTTTCACCAGTCTCTGTATGACCTGAGAAAATTTTCCATCCGTATTAATATCATGATTCATAAGGCAATTATCATTTTAAATCATATTATACAAATTACTTTGCGTGCACAAGTGTTGAAAAGGGCTCGGCTAAAGCAGTTTGTTTTTCCCATCATTCAGAGAAATTTTGTCCACATGATGTTCTATGAAATGTTTTCGAGCCTCTCAAAAACAAGTGACTCTTACTAACACTTTAAAATTTCTTGATAAGTTCGGGAGAATCAATAAGATTATTTTGTGACCAGAAAGTACTTTGAAATTATTTCGCTGTTGTGAAATACTCTGCAAATTTAAGCTTCACGCAGGTTGAGGTAGAGAATAATTTATATTTTATTGGAGAATTTTCTTTATGAACCAATCTACCTTCTGGGTGGGTTCTGAATGTGTAAGCAAGTTTGTAAGTGTAAGTAGCTCAACCAATGTAAAAGAGCTTCTAATGTCAAAGTTCTGAAGATGTAGCTGCATCTTTCAATAAAGCCTAACTTTCTCATAGACTTGTAGAAAGGAAATCTTACTAAGGATTCTTAATCACCTGAGACTCAGCTGTATTGGTCTATTGTTCTGAAATACAAGGCGTGTATAAAAATGTATAATTTGAATTGACCAGTAGGTACTGATTTTCTTTGTTCTTGAATACAAATTACTTATCTAATTTTAGAAAAGAAAATCCTGTTAGTAGGTACTTCCCTGATATATGTTTATTTTTTTACTTGCACGCCCTGGATTTTTGGAATTCGTACATACATAGCAAAAAAATCCCTAATAGTAATTTTTGAAATTTGATTCTACAAAAGTGGACATGATTAGGCACAGACAAGGATGAAGTAACATTCTCATCGAAGATGCATTTTTAACAAAAGGAAAAGTTCAGAAAAAAAGGTTTTACAAAAAGGGCAAGTCCTCAGTGTAGATACTCTACACTGTTTGTGCTAAAAATTAAAGTTTTGAATCTACGAGAATAAGGATGTTATTGTGTTGATGCTTCCTCAATAACTAGTTTGCCAGGAAGATAAGAGTGCCTAACACGAGAAATTCTAAGACTCAATGTTGCCAAAAGAACATTAAATGTGGACCCCTAGAAGCCTGTTGTTAGCTTAGCACTGGATAGTTTTGGTTCCACACAAGCCTCAAATATTTTCTCTTTTGCAGATCAACGAGTTAATGCACGTTACCATACCAGTCATGCTTCTACCAGACGATTTCAGAGCATATTCCAAGATTAAAATCGATAATCATTTATTTAACAAGTGAGTCAAAGTATTTTATTATAGATTTTATAAAATATTCAATAAATGAACTTTTTTAGGGAAAATATGCCATCACACTTCAAAGTAAAAGAATACTGTCCCATGGTGTTCAGAAACATAAGAGAACGGTTCGGAATCGACGATCTTGACTATAAAGAGTCTCTTACCAGGTAACGTTCATTGTTTTAATTATCAGCAATTTTTTTGAATGACAAAAACTGCAATAAATTACTGTTTAAGGTATCCTATTTTTAGATTCAAGTACATGCTTAATTAAAAATATTAGGTGGGATGTAATTTGTTTATGTTTTAAATAGGGCTTCTTATCTCTCGGATAATAAATTAAATGTTATTTTTAGTTAACGTCCGGGAAATTTTCGGATTTTTGGAACTGGTTTACTCTTACCTATTGAAAATTCCTAGAATGAATTATATTTATTTAGGTAGTGATATCAGTTTATTATCTGGAGTGTCGCATTAATTCAGGTTAGATATTAGTCTGATAAAAACCAGAAAATTAACACAGAAAAATGTATTTACTTGATGGGCAAATCCATAATTTTACTTCCTATACTGATATAAAAAATGACTTATGCATCCTTAAGAATTACAATATACAAATAACAATCTAGAACCAAAACTTATACATATAAGAATTATTATTTTGAACCTGAGTCTAGCTATATGTTTTATCTAATAAAGCAAAAGCTATGCATATTTTTAAAATTTAGGTTAAATCATCCTTTATTGTCCAAAGATACAGATCTCACTCACAAAGCAATAGACTTAAATAGGTACTAATTACAAAACTAAAGTAAACTTTAGCCTTACAGAAACTTGAAAAGTCTCTAGAAGACATGATCTCCACACATTATCAGAATACACAAGGTCGACTGCAAATGGAAGGCAAATTCAAATCCATAACCAACTTTTCCTTGTTTTAGATCAATTTTATAAAACTTCTCTGTATTAGTTGTTTGATCAAGCCTGACATAACTTAGTGGCCAAATTTTACTTTGGGTAGTTTCTCATTGATTCCAATAAGGTTGGGCTAGTTTGGGAAAAAATGTTATTATGGCTAATACATTAATATCTAGGTTTTATGAAATTTAGTCCAAATATTTACTAGGATTCTAATACGCATAAGTATATCATTAGTTTAATTAGTAAATAATGACAAAATGTAAAATAATGGTAAATTTACTTTTTTCTAAAACTACCAATTTAGACTAAAATTAAATTAAATGTAGAAATCATCTAAAAAAACAAAACATTAATTACGCAGTCCCATGTCTAACAACGTATTTTTTTGTCACAGTAATTACAAATAATAATTATTGACGACATTCATTTTTTTTTTTACAGATCCCAACCCCTTCCAGATGACTCTGCTGGAAAAAGTGGCGCCAAATTTTACCAAAGTTACGATAAGATTTTCATCATTAAAACTCTCACATCCGAGGAAGTTGAGAGGATGCACTCGTTCCTCAAACACTATCACCCTGTAAGTTTTAGCTTAACACAATAGGCCTGTGTCAAAAAAATTCTATTTGTAGTACATTGTGGAAAGACATGGTAAAACTTTATTGCCTCAATACCTTGGAATGTATCGGTTGACTGTCGATAATGCAGAGCACTACATTGTGGTGATGAGAAACGTATTTTCCAACCATTTGAGCACACACAGAAAGTTTGATTTGAAGGGGTCTACAGTAGATAGGGAAGCTTCGGAGAAGGAACGAGAAAAGGAATTGCCTACATTGAAGGATAATGATTTTGTTAATGAGCAAATGAAGGTAAAGGAGTTTTGAATTTTTTTGATGCCAGTATTGATTGTTTTTTTCTCTAGGTTTACATAGGAGAAGAAGCTAAAAGTAAGCTCATGGAAACTTTGAGTGCTGATGTCGATTTCTTGACGAAATTGCATCTGATGGACTATAGTTTGTTATTAGGTGAGTGATAGGCTCAGAGAGATCAAGAAAATGTGCTTGAAATCCTGATTTGCACATGAAGATGGATTTTGTTCTACCTCTCATCTGGATTTTGAGCCTTTTCTTGCCATTCTTGTTTAACATTGATGTATTGGAAGGGGGAAAAACATTTTTTATGCACTTCAGGAATTATAAGTACCCTTTTAATCCCTGTTTTAAGGAATTAAAGTGATAAAAAAGATAAAAAATTACATTTAGAAAAAGGCTTCTATGTATTTTAAGTGGGTGATATGTATATATTTTGTTTAATCCCTCAAATTCAGTTCAGGCGGCTTAAAAGATCTTATCAGTTCCATTTTTAAGTAATAACTGGCTAGCTCATTGTATCTATTTATTTAATTTAAGTTGCTTCTATTAGAATTAATCAACATCCATCTGTATGAACCTTTTAAATCCCTAGAAACTAATTTAAAAACAAGGTATGTGAGTAACACTTAACCACCAATTATGTATTGGAAAAAGGGTTGGTTGGTTGGTTGGTTGAGATGCAGAGTGAACAGGCCAGGTTAGGTGGCCCCAACACTGCAGCCGACGGATTATTGTATTGTCCTGTTCGTCTGTTTAGTCAGTGAAAAGTTTCGTGACCTTGATTAGGTTTAGAAGCCTCTTCACCGTGTTACTTTTGGTGAGTTTAGAGATAGGGTCTTCTGGCCTTATCTGTCTGTATCTCCACCAGCGTAAAGCCTCATATTCGAAGATTATATCATTTCATTTCATTTTTTTCATTTCAATAGAATTTACTTTCGGAAAAAATAAATCTTATTGACAAAGTATTCAACTATAGCTAACTTGCAAGACACGTATTCCTAAATTTAAAATTAACATTGACAATTAAAATAAAATACATGTTCATAATACTCTTCCAGGGAATAATATGCCTCCAAAAGCAACATATTTTTTAATTGTTTCTTAAACACTTTGAGACATCGGACATTTTTTATTGTCAGGTAAAGGTGATTGAATTTTTTTTTTACTTTCATAACTCACAGATTTCTTCACTTGAGACGTTTTTGGGATCGGCAACGGCAAGTTGTTGGCAGACCTGGTATTATATATAGTTTGAACATTGTTCCGATCCAACAATGCACTCTTATGATTAATAAGACAGGCAGTCTCCAGGACAAACAAGAAGGCCAAAGTCAAGATCTTGTGCTGTTTAGAAAGAGGCTTACAGTGCTCTCGAAACTTCGCACGGCACATGTATCTAACTGCTCGCTTTTGAAGTACAAATACGGATGTGAATAGTTGTTTACTGCAGTAACCCCAGAAAGATATACTGTATGATAGATGCGACTCGACTAGGGCAAAATACACCATACGTGCTTCTTTCAGTCCCAACTCACATGCAGTTATTTTCACGGAAAAGCAGCCACTTGAGATTTTTGTCGATAACTGTCGATATGTGCTGAAAATTTTAAGTTTTTATCTACAATCAGGCCTAGAAATTTGACATCTGTTTTATTTTTAATTCCATTGTTGAGGATTTCTGCACTGGAAACATCACAGTTAAAACACAACAAATTCGAATCACACCAACTCTTAATTGAAATCAAATCCGACTCAATTGACCATATCAAGTGCCGCGCGTTACAATTCCGCCACACCAGGGATGTATCATTCGGAAACAGGGTAAAGCGTGCGTTAACTTGAGTTTTGGCCAGGTCATTAACATTAATCAAAAACAAAATCGGCCTGAAGACTGACCCCTGAGGCATCCCGTGGCTAATATTTAAATCAGCTGACGATTTTCCCAACCAATCCACCCTCTGTGATCTATCAGATAGGTAAGAATAGAACCAATCATAAGTTCTTCCTACAAACCTATACCTTCTAAGCTTGCACAGCAATATTTCGTGATCAACACAATCAAATAACTTTGAGAAATCACAGAACATCGAACACCGCCGCCACAGAGTAACCAGAATTGATAGCCCTATACACCCCCTCCAGAAAAGCATAAATGGCGTCACTAGTGCTCGTTGATGGCTGGAACTTGTACTGACTAGGAACCAAAATATCATTTTTGATAAGGTGGTCCATAACTCGCTTTTTACTACTTTTTCAATTATTATCGAAAGCGTAGGTAACAGTGAAATGGGTCGATAATTAGAGGGGTCCGTTACTAAAACTTTCATTCGTAAACAAAGACAAACACATCAAAACTGCTTCGGGCAAGTTCATAAAAAGTTCGGCAGATATGCCATCATAGCCAGCAGCAAATTTATTTTTCTGTTTAATTTCATAGGTTATTTCCCCAATCTCAAGTACATTTGTAGGAGTCAAAACACAATGGTCATTGACCCAAAAATCATCCAAGTAGTCGAGGGGGTCAACCAGTGTTGCCAGGTCTACCGTTTTAGCGGTAGATCTACCGTTTTGATGTATGAGCTACCGTTCTACCGTTTTTGATATAATTTTCTACCGCTAAATATTTAATGACGTTGAGAGGACATTTCTATTGTAAAGCCTGTTTTTTTTTTAAAGAAAATTCCCCAAGTCAAAAATTTAGTAACTATGTTGGCAACTCAAGCCTTTTCTACACAAAAATTTGAAAGCATTGACAATTTTACGTTGTATTGCCAACATAATGTCATTTTGACTTTTATCTTTAAAAAAAACCAGACTTTAGTAGCGTAGCGCGGTACTCGACGTCGACATCAGCTGGGTTCGGCTTGCTCACTCCGAGTGACTCCATTCGCACTCCAACCGTTCGGATATCGCTTTTTGGCGTATCAGATTGAGGCTGGAGTGCAAACGGAGTAACTCCAGAGAAACCGTTTATCCACAAACAGATTGTTGGTTTAATCAATTCCAAATAATACATAGACAGTTGTTATCATATTATTATAACAACAAAATATACAAAAAATCTGAGCGGTTTTCCGATTCAGAATGAGTATACCGTTCAGTTTTCAAATCTACATAGAGGTTTTTATTTTTGTACATTTTGTTGTACCCATACTTTATATCATCTCTAGTGTATTTTTAGCCCAAATGGAGTAGGGGAAGATCTACCGTTTTTCTACCGCTTTTTTTATGTCATGCCTACCGCTTTCCTTATTTTCAACCTGGCAGCACTGGGGTCAACTGATGTAATAATATCAGTAGTCAACCTAGAAGCGCAGTGGTTCCCAAAGTGGGCGATAACTCCCCCCAGTGGGCGCTACAACCATCTCGGGGGACGGTAAAGAGCTCAACTGATTTTGGGGGGTGGTAAGCATAAATTAGTGGGCGGTGGAAAATAAACGAACAGATCAGAAAAAAAATACACGCAATAATCAGCAGCAGCTGCATTAAAGTTATTGTATTTTACTTATAAATAACTTCAGAAAGTTCAAAAATAAGCTCCGTCAAGTTAGCCCCCCACATTCCAATTTTCTAACAAAATTGCAACTACTTTGAAATGTGCTGTTCCGATACCAAACTTATAGAAAAAACAAGATGAGGGGCTAACTTGACGCTCAAACCCCCCAAAATTTTGGAAGTCCGATAAAAAAAAAAATGAATTCTTATGCAATCGGAAGTGTACTTACTGAACTGTGCTGTAAATATCAGGTTTTTCTCAAAATTTCGATATTCGGTCATTTTCCCACAAAATACTACTGGGGGTACTAACTTGACGCTTAGCTCTCCAAAATTTTGGAAATCAGATGAAACAAGTGTGCTAGACTGTGCTGTATCAGGTTTTTCTAGAAATTTCCATATTAAGTAATTTTCAGGCAAAATCCTATTAGGGGGCTCACTTAACGCTCAGCCCCCCCCTCCCCGCTTCAAAAAAAATTTTGTAAATCAGATCAAACAAAAATGAATTCTTATATTATCTGAAGTTTGCTGGACTGTGCTGTATCAGGTTTTTCTCAAAATTTCTATATTCGGTAATTTTTCGACAAAATCCTACTGGTGGGGCTAACTTGACGCTCAGCCTCCCAAAATTTTGGAAATAAGATTAAACAAAAATGAACCTAGCACACTCGCAAAAAAAGGGTTCCGTCGTAGGTATTTTATACACTGTAGGTTATTTTGCAATGTTTTAAAATTATTTCACCTACTTAATTGCTTCCTTAATACCTACATAATACTCGTCTGAGATTTCTGTCACATTAAAACTATGATGCCCTCCTGCATCCACTAGTATAACTTTCACTGCTATAACCGGATTATAACCCAGTCAAAAACGCACTTTTATGGGAGGACACACACATGCTCTTCTACTGTCGAATTTTTGATCGATTAATACACGATGTCAGTGTATCCAGTGGCGTACAAGCGGACGAGTAAAACCTGAAGGCAACAGATAACTCATTATTGTTATGACCAACTACGTTAATTAGATGCATAAAAGCAATATTAAAATTCTGACTTTAGTACTAAGACAATAAAATATATTAGTTTTCATTGTTAAACGCTTTATTTATGTATATAAAACAGAATAGATAAGTATTTACTTAATAAATAAATAAGTATAGTTGAAAATAAGAAATTAAGTATCTATTTCATCGAACAGGTCTTCATCATCTACATACTCTTGGAATATATTGCTGCAAGAGTTCCCCTGACGTTAACCACATAGATTATAATAATAATAATAATAATAATAATAATAAGCCTTTATTTCCAACAGGAATAAACCCAATTACAGGAAAAAACACATACAATTTAAAGAAAAACTATATAGAAAATCGTGCACCACAGCACACTAAATTACAGATAAATAACAAAAACTGAGCAAAAAATAATAATAATAATAATAATAATAATAATAAATGCAACAAACAAAAGAAAAACAAAAACATTTTTTTTTCACCAATGCAAGAAACTTAAAGCTAATAATCAATCAATGGAAAGAGCACCAAAAATCCGCGACAGCCTATCATGATTAATATCACATTCGCCCGACACAGTATTGTAAACAGCGCACATTAGATACACTGGGCTCTGTGATAAGACGTTAGATCTAGCTG